CAACCTCAACCCTTCCTTCCACCTCCTCAACGCACAAGACAACAAAAACAACGTGCAACGGCCCCAACGGGAAACAGGCGGCCAGGCAGGGAACAGGGGAGCAGAAAGCAGCGAATACACAAGTCAAGGTCATGGACGCCGTGGCGCGGCAAAGGCACCCACTTCGTTTCTCCAGCACCGGCCTCAGCTCCGGTGACTTACTTCACTGCCCCCCGCACCTCGCGGCAGAGAAGGCAGCACGGCGACTTCTGCCGCGCGTCCGCCCTCAGGTATTCCTCCGGGTGCTTAAAGAAGCGGCCAACATCAACGCCGGCTGGGCCAACGAGCAGAACGCCCTCGCCAGCGAGGTAGCCAATCACGCAGTTGGCATGGTAAGCGTGGGAGCACCCGAAGACCACAACGCCTGCCAACGATGGCTGGTGGCAAAAGGGACACACCGCCATTCCAGGCTCCACGCGAATTGCGGCCTCTCGTTGCCGGTACAGCGTTGCGTATTGCTTTCCCAAGTCACTCGTTGCCACATGCACGACGGCGGTCATAAGCCGCACATCATTCGCCTTGCTTCGCGCTACGTCGGAAATGCAATTTCCCACGTGCGGTATCGGCTCATCCTCTGGCAGCAGTTCAACAATTTGCGTGGGGTCTAACGCAATACGCCCGGCGATTGACGGGTCTACAATGGCCCGCAGGAGGGCCTCCGTAAGGTTTAGCGGCACAATGCAATAGCTGCTTGACGGTGCCATAAAACTGTCACCACTGCCAGTCTGCGGTTTCCCAGCGCCGTTGGCCACGCGCAGGTCATCCTCGTCGACGCCATACCTTTGGGCAATGCTGGCCCACGTCTCCCCTTCTGTCAAGCGGTGCTCAAGATACTTCTGCCCGTTGCGACTGCGAAGTGTGGCGTTCACTTCAACACTCATTTGTACAAGGCTCTTGTAGAGCTGGAGTCGATCCTCTGCATTGGGGATGTCGGCAATGAACTCAACCGCCTTCCTGACGCTTTTCATGTCGTACACAATGATGCGAAGGCCCTCCTCCTCCTTCCCCATCCTGGCAAGAAGAAAGACCATCTCCTCCAGCAGCTGGTGCTTTTTGCACAGCGCAAATATCTCTCGCAGTTTCGTAAGGTGCGCGGAATTATCACGCAAGAACGGGAGCAGCCCAGCGGGCTCGTTCTCGATGAAGAGAGTCGCAAACAGCTGTGCGTGCGTCTCAGAGAGTGCGGCGTACACTGCCTTGTCTCGGCTCTGTAACGCCTTCAGGTACGCCCACAGGTAACGGCGCTGTGTCCGCTCCAATCTCTGCACGACGGCCGCCGGCGTGAACCTCGACCGCGACAGCAACGCCGCTGTCGTGGTCGCGTCGTCCACGGCGGCGTCTGTAGGGTGAACGTGTTCCAAAAGTAGCTCAATGGTGCGGTCCTCGTTCCTGGCAAACAGTGCAGGCAACACTTCTATGGCCTCTGCAAAGAGCTTCTCTTTCCGTATAAGTTTGAAGAGCTCATCACTGTTGTCGACCCTCAACAAAACCTGAAGCGCCTTGTCGTAGTGGCCACCGAGCTGTAGCAGCAATCCGTATGTATCACCGAGCGCCTTTCTTTTTTCGTCGGGAATAACGCCCAAGGCACCTTGCATGTTCCAATCGTTATAGTGGCGTTCAGCGGCATTGCAGACAACTTGAGGCCGAAACATTCCCCTGAACTTGTGCACAGCCCTCTGAAAGCAGAGTACGTCCTTCTCCAGACACCTAAGAAGCACAAGCTCGTAATACTCTTCTCCGATTCTGGTATTTTTTTGCGAAGCTTTTCCATCTTCAGCAGTCTTCTCACCGGCGCTTCCACTGTGAATGGGGAGTACGTCCACCAGAAGGTCGGACATGCCGTCCTGGTCGAACTGACAAATCCACCGCTCCCACTCTAAATAGTCCTCCTTCACAACCTCCGGAAGAGAAGCGGCCACCTCATCGTACTTTTTCTCCGAGAACAGGTGCTGCAAGAGGTGATAGCCGATGCCTGCAGCCTCATGTTGACGAAGCGAGTGGGTGCGAGCGTAGCTGTAGGCTTCCTTAAAGCGACCCACTTTAAGAAGATACTCCACATGTTGGTCGTCGTCGGTGGGCGTCACTTTAATGACGGCATCCACGCAGGCGATGAAAAAAACGGACTCCGACAAAGCGGCAGACGCTGAAAGCAGGGAAGGCAGCAGCGATGTAGGCGTCACCTTTGAAGCTGTCGTCGAAGTAGCCGCGACAGCGGCAGCACTACCACCACCAGCTGAGAAGGTCAAACTATACTGCAAGGGATGTTTGTACTTAGTATGCAGGCGCCCACGGAAAACATTAACAAACGTGGCACGCTCCACAATACGCACCTCTAGTTCCTTCATGTACCCTTCCTGCTCGAGCGTGCACGCAAGCACGAGGTAGCGGTCCGGACCAAAAGGAGCTATGCCACATACACGACACGGCTCCGTCGCCGTGTGCGGTAGAATAGCCGGCATGACTTCCACTCGATGCGTTCGCGACAAGAATTCGGTTCCCCACCTCAACCTCTCCTCCATCCGCAGCTCGTAGACGTGAAGCACCTGAACCCAGTCCCCCCATCCCCAGCTAAGTGTGCGAGGAGCCTCCCAGACAAGGGAACAGGGGTAAAACTCCAGTCGTGATGCGTCTAAGGGTCGCGCAACGAACTGCACCATCGCCCGCCCTGTGTAACTATACAGCTGCACACCACGATCGCTTGCCCAAGCGATCAAGTCGGGGCCACACCAGCGAACCAAGTAGACCCTTCCACGGCGCTCCTGCAAAACCGTGCTTTTGCGGTGACCCAGTATTCTCGCCTTTGTGATGAGCATCACCTTATCACCGCCACCTACAACAATGGGTCGATCCTCATTGCGGCTATATTTTGGGTGCAGTGCCATTGAATGAATTGGAACATCGAACTCTTTTCGGTAAAAACCTTGTTCGTCGTACAAGTTCTGTACCGTGACCACGCCCGATTTGTCGGAGGACCCCACATGCTCCTCCATCGCGTCACAGCTCACGTCGCTGATGGGGTTAACGTGCTTGTTCAGCATGCGGACCACCATTCCAGACGTTTCCACTAACGCCACTACGCCACGGTTTGTGCCAACGGCAATGAACCGATTAAACGCGACCACCACCATGATGTGCTGACCGCGTAGAGCCTCCAGTGGAAATGTTGAAAAAGAAAGCAAGTTTTCCTGCTCTTCCTCTTCCTCCTCCTCGTAGTTTTCCGTCGTCTCCTCATCGTATTCGTCGTCATCTGACCCGGTAACGTACGACTCGTCTTCCACCTCCAACTCCCTTTCCTCAATCACGTCCTCGTACTCACTGCCGTCGTCGTCTTCGCCCTGCCGCTGTTGCGGCGCCGACAAATCTTGCGAGTTCATGCAAAGGCGCCGCCAGGCACTCCGGTCCCCCCACCACCACAACCTCGCAATCTGGTGTGTGTATATCGGTGTCTCGTATATATGTATATATGCCGGTATATGTTTATGTATATCTGTGTGTGTGTGTGCGTTCACGCTGCTCCGTGGCCAGGTGCAGAACGCGTGCGCGCCTCAAGAAAGATATCCCAAGCAGCAGTAAAAAAAAAAGATGAAAAGAAACAAAAGCCCTTCCAGCAGATCAAAAAGGAAGGACGGAAAACAACCGCGCGGAAGGATCCACCGCGATAGTTTTCTTCCCATTACAGGCCCTGGTTTCCCTCTTTTCCGCGCCATTTTGAAGCAAGTGTTCATGCCACACAAGCATGCCCACCGACCATGGGATTGGGATGCCAGCAGTCAAACGACGCAGTGCGCATGATGGATAAACGAAAATCGAATAAAACACCATCGCACATAAGCATTGAAGAAGGGGAGAAGAGACAAGAAGGAAAGATTCACCTCAAAGCACAACTACTCAACGGGAGAAACGAAGGGCAGAAGCCTGCAGAATCATCAAAGGCTCGGGTTGATTTGATGTTGTTTTTATTGTTTCTTCAATCAGCGCCATCAGCCGCCGCGGTTCAGGACAGACGCTAAGAGGCCTTGCTCTACTTCGTGCCGATGACGTGTCAAGAAAGACCCTGTGGTTCTTACATCCCCACTTCTGCTTTCTGCTTCCTCAGCAGAAACCGTGAAAGCTCCGCTGTTCGTCAGCATGGCCCGCTGCTGCAGCATCAAGTTGCGATAGCCAAGCAGCAGCAGGGTGGAGCCAAGTAAGGTCCTCTCCCGACACATCCCATCTTGGTTGCCGCATGGACGAGGGTGCTGGCCAACTACATCCGTCGCGTCCTGCTCAGGCAAACTCTCTCCTTCCCTTCCACGGACCTTTCCTCCTGCCAACAGGCTCTCTGTCTCACTGTCAATAGCACTTGCGCTGCCGCGCCTTCTCCGGTTACTCTGTGCATATTCCAACTTCGCGATAGTGGCAGCTAGTTGGCTACGCAAGTCTCCCTTCTCCTTTTCGACCTGTCGCAACTGGGCCTTTAGGGCGTCTAGGGCAGCAGAGGATTTAAATTCCTCAGTCGGCAGTGATGCAACTTGCCGCTGAAGAACATGCAGCAATCGCTCAGCCGCCTCCTTTTGACTTCTTGCCTCATCCAGTTCGTTTTCAAGCTGTACCACGCGATCCATGGAGTTCACTGAACCAAATGAACGGTTCGAGCAGACCTCAGCATGGTCCACGCCAGTAGAACACTCAGCCTTCGAAAGAGCCAACTCCGTGCGTACTTCCTCCAGTTGCCGCTCCAGTTCGGTTTGGGTTTTCCTCTGGGCAGCCAAACTTTCTTCAACCACACTAAGCTTATCCAAAGCCTCCCGCCTTTCCACATTTTTCTTCATCAATTCCTCCTCTGTGCGCCTAAGTTTGCGCTTAAACGAACCTAACGCCGTCTCCTGCGCCGCAGTAGCCTCCTTGAAAGCCGAAATACGTTTGTGGTTCTCCTCAATAGTTGCCGTGAGCTTCTGGACAACTGCCTCCTTTTTTGCTAAGAGCTGCCGCAAATGGTCTTCCCCGGCAGCGGCCGTGCGTCCGAGCTCGGCCTCCGCAAGCAGCTTCTTGTACTTGGATTCCCACTCCTGCTTCTCTGAGAGGGTAAGGTGAAGCTTGGCGTCAAGTTCCACCACCTTGGCATTCGCGTCCTCTAGCTCACGGCGAAGCCGTGCGATTTCTTGAGTGAAGGCCGCTTCATCAGCTGCCAAAGCAGATCGTATGCCAGCGTGCGAAGAAGCGTCACCACGCCTTCTTGTGACGCTGCGATACTGACTGGAGGCAGCAGAGTCCCCCAACGTCGGTGTCTCATGACGCCGCCGGGGACGTAGCGCGTATTTGGTGATACATGCCTTCGCTGCGTTGGACAACGCCAGTTGATCCGCGTGCGGGAGCGACTTCAACGCCTGCAGCACGACAGGATCACCGCTGAGCACAACCATGACGAGAAAAATGTCTGTCAATTCCATCAGACGATCCACGCCAATGTCGTATGTCAACGGCGCCTTCAACTCCCCACTCAATGCTGGTGCGGTTGCGATGTCCGCCGGCCGGATCGTGAGCATGAGATTCAAGGTGTCCGGTGCACCGAGAAATTGATGGGCATAATCGTCCATATGCTTCACAAGGGCCACGAGGTTCCCTTTCCGCACCACCCAGTTCTGTCGACTCGACGGCGCCTGTTCGGCAATCTCGAGGGCATCCGGGAAGGTCTCTGGTGATATGCGGGAGAGAATGCGGTACAGAAACGCCCCATCCCCGAGCTCCTCGTAAGTTTCAGGCAGCGGATGTGTGGATTTGCCGTTGGCATCGCCCTCTTGGCGCGCCAGCAGCTGCCGCACAAGAAGAAGCACCGCTGCCTTTTTTTCGGCGCCTGCCATTTCCTCAGAGGCGCCGGCGCCGGCGTTGGCGTTCGCGCAATCCCTCACCCACCACTAAAGTGAAGGGAGTACAACTTTCTGCCCCCAACTTATTTCAACAGCAGCGGGCCCAAAGAGAAACAGTGTTTGGTAAAAACAGAAAACAAAAACAAACAAAAAAGCAACAACAAAGAAAAGTAAAAGGTGTCAGTGCAGCCACAGAGGGATGGCCACTACGAGGATTTAAGGATAAAGTTAAGGAAAGTGGCAGTGGGGCGGCCCGTCACTTTTCTGGACCCAGTCGCCGTGACGACCAGTAAACAAAGAAGGCATCCGGAAATGAAGCATCCAACTACGACATACCCAGAGCGAGAAAGAAACAGAATTTGAGGTGCCCTTCAAGGAATAGTTTATGCTCAAACAACAACTTTAATCTTGACACGAAAAAAAAATCTATGGTGTGGGACAGAGCTTTTGTCGTTCATCAACTCCGTTGCTTTTTTTTTTCCTTTTGCTTCTTCGTCTTCCGTTTGTATTCAACGCCTCGCTATCTATCCGTGAACGCCTTTCATGACCATCTCTGCGCCGTACTAGCTCCCAACACACTTCGGCTCATGTGTCGCCCCGCCTTAAACAGCACCTTTTCCGAGAAACCTAATGTTTCCAATGGCCTCCGACATTTTCTCAGGGTACGTTTCAAGTCCCGGGGCGCGCAGCGCAATATCTGAGCAAGCTCTCAGGAGTTTGTTGATGTTCACCGCCGGTGACTGGTTGAGCACACCGCGGACATACGACTTCCCCCGTTGGTTGTCGTACATGAGCGACCATAAGGCAGTCACAGCCAACTCCTGACGGCGACATGCCTCGGCAGCTCCTACGGTGTCATCTGTGCCCTCCACACACTCTGACTTGTTCGACTGTCGTAAGGGTGTCTGCTCTGCACATGTCTGTAGAGAGACGCGCTTCGCCTGCGGCTCACTCTTTGATGAGGGTAAGGTCGTCAGTCTGTCCTTTGAGCTCTGGCTGCCGGAATCGTGCACCGCTGTCTGCGGCGACGCCTCTGTCATCAAGGCCGCCTTAAATGTGAGAAGAAGGCGACTGTCTTGGCAAACCTTGACCTTAAGCGTGGGGTTAAAGCAAAGGTTGCGAAGCGTCAACAAGGCCAGGCTCCCTGCGTAGTTCGTGTTTCCCGCCGCCTCGATCAGCATCGTCATGAGTTCCGCCTGACGCATGATGGCGAGCTGCGCCTCCGCCTGGAACGAAAGCGCCGCTAACAGGCGAAAGGGCCCCAATGGCGTCGCCACACGCCGGCGCTCATTCCTCAGCAAAAGAGACTCTATCTGCTCAACACCCCTCAGCTTCATCACCGCGCGCGAAAACGGTTCACCGCCCCTGCCACACGCCGTGGCGCAGATGTCAAATCCTGACGCTACAACGGCTGCCCTGAAGGCCTCTCGCTCGGACAACGGAGTATTCTTCATGGCGTTATTGTTGTCTTTCTGCAGCTGCAACTGTTCACCGGATTGCGAGACGCCGAGTGTGATGCCCAGAATACGCCCAAAACATGAGCGAGCCAGTGGGTCACCGGCAGAAGAGGCTTCCTGCAAGAGGCAGCGTCGTCCCTCGACACTGCGCGCCAATGCCACGGCCGCCTGAAAAGCCGCACGTTGCGTCATCTCATACCCCAACGTGGTGCGAAGTGAAGCGCACAGCAAGCGCATAACGTCCGGCGACAAGGCACGACACCCAGGAAAGGCCACCACACTACACACAGTGGAAAGCAGCATCATAAGCGAACTCATCCCCTCTCCCCCAAGGACGCCGCCATTCTTCTTTAAGGCCTGTACGTGCCCGTCAAGCTCTTCCAGTTTTGAGGCGACCCAGTCAACTTCGTGCGCCTTGGAATTGGCCGGCGCAAACAGCGACACGAGACGGCACTGCATTCCACAGACAGAGGAAGCATGGTGAATATCAAGTGATGCAGCAAAAAGATCACCACTAGACGCCGCAAGCACCTCAGAAAAAGCCTCGGAATGTGCAACGACAACGTCGGAGACGAGGGAGCAGACATGCGCGCGAATGCGTTGCGAAAGGCAACTGTTTCCCAGGATCTTGCAGAGAGACTTAAATAAAGCAGGTGGTAAAATGGGAGGGTCCTTCGTGTTCTGACTCGTCGCCTTAATCCAAAGCGAGCAGAGCTCTATCACCCACTGCAGCATCACTTCGTACGAATTCTCCAACGTCCCGTGCTGCTCCACCTTCACGCCAAAGCGGGATGACAACATGGCAAACACGTCGGCGGGCGATGGAAGCGCAAAGACGCTTACGAAGAAGCCGCACATAATATCATTTGAAAACTGTTCCCCAATAAGTGGACAGGCGGCACAAAGAAAGAGCAATCCACGCGCCAAGGAACAGATAAAGAAAAACTGCACTGAAATTCCCTCGGTCCCACTCAGAAAGCGCGAGAGTGCATCCTTTGTCGTTGTCGCCGCAGGTATCGGCTTTTCATGCACACACACCAGCTTCTCGTTTGTTTGCGTCGCCACAAAAAGAAGCTGCCACCAACACTCCAATGATCGCTTACCATACGGCAAGAGAGCGTTAGTCAACGTACTCTTGTGAAGCTCGGCGAGGCGCGTTTGTTGTTCAAACAACAAGGTCAGCAAGAACATCATGGCTGCAGTGGCGTATGTGACACCGTTGCACGAGGCCAACTCCAATAGTTTAACAGGGAGCGCTGACTGAGTGAAGTCAAAACTCCGCTCCAGCCTGGCATCTTCTGAGGAGATGCGAATGACGTCCGCCAACCACTCCGCCGCAGCTGCCGCCTCCCACTGTGGCGCCGTTTTTGTGTACTCCAGCACGCTGTTGACGGCGGCGTTAACGACCGATGGCATCTCTTGCACGATGGTCATCAGTTCTGTGGGTGAGGCACAGAGGCGGGACAGACAGCGGTAGACAGAGGCGCGGAGAGGCGGGTGGATGCTGTTGCGTGTTGCCCGCGAGAGTGCCGGGATGCGCGGAACAATATCCCTCAAACAGATCGCATTCATCCGGGAAACCTGCAGGAACCAAAGAGCGGCATCCAACGCAACCAGGCTGCACTCGCCCAGAGACGTATAGCGAGATGAACGTGGGCAGCTTGGCAAGTGATGAAGGGCAGAGCCAGACATATTTTCAACGGCTGATGTGAGTGTCGGGTTGTGGATGCCAATCGTAAGTAAAAGCGGGATTATGCATTGCAGCATCCCAACAGTTTCTGGCGCAAGCAGTTCAGCCAGCACCGCGCAATGATTCCATATGACAGACGAAAGAAGTTTGCAGGAAAGGGCGGCGAGGGTGACGTGCTCCGTCCGCGTAGCTGCCATGACACCAGCAAGGTACACTTCGTCCGAAAGTGTCCCGTCTGCCGTAGTCGGCGTATCAATCAACGCGGATTTGGTTTGCTCCACATTTCTGATGAGGGATTCAAGCAACACGAATAGGCCCGCCTCACGAATCCATTGCTCCATCTCCTGCGGCTCACACGCACGCTCAGCGACAAGCAGGAAGGAGAGGACGACAAACGATATCGATGGTCTCTGCACAGGGCTGCTGCATCTCTCGCCCGGCATCGGGGGTGGGGTACTCAAATTTGCCTCGGTCGTTGAAACTGCGCTTGTCGCAAGCGCCGAGGCGCCAACGGTGGAGAAGCCGGACGCTTCTCGAGGCGCCGGCAGCAGCTCACGGGTGTTCAGATCCTGGAGAAGGATTTTTATCAGCGAGGATCCAGCAACAGTCAAGATGCTGTCGCGCGTCTCACGGAGGAGGTGAAAGCCAGATATCATGTGCGATAACCACAACAGCGCCGAGGTAAACACCACCTGGTCCTGCTGATTGGAGGGCATGGTCTCCAGAAACCGCCGGAATGCCCGGTTGAAATTGAGGCTTGTGAACCGGCGTTGCAGTTCATCCCCATCGGCCACAGTTAGGCACCAGAGCCGGTTAAGCATGACCAAAAACTCCTCGTGAGAGCGAGCCTTCGACAGGCGATCAAAGCAGTCTATGTACTCCTCTTCAGGAACGGAAGCATCCGTACTCTCAACCGGAATCGTGCCCTCCCCTTCAACGGTTGTGTTGATGGACATTTTGGTTTCATCCACGGCGAGGCACGTCGTGCCATGACTGTTGAGAGTTTTGTCCATTACACTCTCAGTAGGGGCGTATTCACTTCGGTTCAACCCGGCGTTGTGCGTTGCGGAAGGATCTTCTCCAGCAGTATTGCCAGGTTTGCTCCGCTTTTGCAGTCGTCGGAGGCGGTGGGCCGCGAGGCTCAAGAGAGTGTGGCTGCAGTAGCGCGTCGCGCCATCCATGGCAAAGTAGAGCGCCTGCAACGTTTCCAACACCTCCTGCAGGATTCCCTCGTGCTGGGCCACCGCTGCCTGTAGCTGCTGCAGATGGCACGTGAACGCAACAGAGCGATTTTCGTTGAGCGGCACACCCCGTACCTCCCGTCCGAGCGGCAAGGAGAGAAGCGAGTGCACCATCGTCGCGAGGAGTCCAAAAAAGCGTGGATGCTGCCGTTGCAATAGTTTGACGAGCGTCAGCAAAATCTCCCCGGCACGCGCCAGCACCAGAAGGCAGTAATAGGGATCCCTGTCTGCGTAGAGCGCGAGCATCATGTCAATGAAAAGGGAGAGTGTCTCGAGCTGCGTGAAGAGAAGTTTATCGGCCGTGAAAAACGGTGGCCCACCGCCGCGGCATTCGCTTGACAGCATGTCACCGGCAATTGTATCCACAAGGTGCGTCACTAGTTCTCCCTCCTCCAAAAACGCCGCCACGGACACGCTCGACACGAGAATTCGCTTGAGCACCTCACACCCCTCCTCCACCACCACCACATTGTGGTGCGTGACCTTCGCCGTGAGCTCCGCGAAAAACGCCAGCCACTTGGACTTAGTGAAGGAGTCACGTGAAGCGGACATGTTGGGCGGATGCGCCAAGGCCCCCTAACTGCGGCACACACACAAAAGAAAGCAACAACAGGAGGAAGGGAGAGGGGGGGGGGGGAAAAAAAAGAGAAAAAGAGAAAGAATACGCAGGGCACGGGCACCTGCGCGGGGAAGGCAGACGGCGTCCCCCACAAAGCCAGCGGCGCCTAGCTACTCCAAGTTCAGCTTTTATTATTATTATTTTTCTTTTGCGTTTTTTGCTCTTCACTACCTCCCAAAAGACTTCGGCGGGTGCTTCGCACACCCTGTTTACCCGCGCCTCACCATCTCCACCGCGTCCGCGGACTTGCCGTAGTACGCGTAAATGTTTTTTCGAGTGGTGAACCCCAACTTTTCGTACACACGCGGCACGGCAGCCACTAGTCGCTCCATCTCCTCCAACAACTCTTGCTGCACTGCCGGATCATCGTTTTCCGGCAAGACCCTGCGGAGGTACGCCGTGGTTTGCGGCGAGGACACCATCGTGTGCAGCCGCCATCGGAAAATCCTCCGGCTGGGCTCACCGCCCGCTACGAGCTGCAGAACGCGACGCAGCAGCTCCCCTGCAATGTGGCGCCTGCGATACGTTGCCTGCACGAGCACGACCTGAATGTAGCCCTCCACCTCAAGGCCGGGGGCGAGCGGCACCCACACAACCCCCACCGCGCCCACCATGGCGGAGGAAGTATCCTCGAGAACCCCCGCCGTTGCCGCCGCCGTGCCGTCCGGGGTGGAGGCGCGGGAGGCCACCACGAAGAGATCCACCTGCTCCAGGTGTCTGCGGGAGCACGCCGGGTACGGCAAGTAGCACCACCGTTCCAGCGCCCCCACCACAGCGCTGTGCTCTTCGGTGTCCCGCTCCCTCCTCACCTCGTGAAAGACGAAGTCAGCCGTCATCCGGTGGGGAACGGCGCCAGATGGCCCGATGGCTCCCCGACAACACGGTGCCCGCCTCCTTGAGGTCTCCCCTAAAGAGAAAATGAGGAAAGGAAAAAATAAACCACGCGCACAAACACACAGACTTTGAAGAGGGGAAAAAAGCAGAATTTTCTTATTTCCCCCCCCCAAAAA